CCTCCCTCCGCCCCTCTCCCTATCCCGTGCCAACTTCACGCCCCCCACCCCCTCTCCTCACCCACCCACCCACACCTCCCCTTCTCCCTCCCTCCTCTCCTCTCCCTAACCTTCTTCCCTCCCCCTCCCCCCTCCTATCCCCCATACCACATCTCTTTCCTCTCCCCGTCCTCTCACCTTCCTCCCTCTTCTCTTCCCCTCCCCTCTCTTATCCCCCCCCCCATCCTCCTCTCCCTTCCTATCCCCCCAATACCCTATCTCCTCCCTCCTACCTCCTCCCATCCTCTCCCCTCCTCCTACCCACCCTCCACCCTCCTCCTACCCCTCCCCCCCCCTCCCCCCGCCCGTCGCGCCCCGGATCTGTCTGCCTCCAGCGTCAACATCAATCATCTCCGTTACTCAACATTCCTCAACACAATTTCAGTCCGATAGCAACCCCCTCCCCTCCCCCCTCCCCCCCTCCCCTCCCTTTCCCCCTTCCCCTCGCCTTCTGTTCCTGCATGTCGTCATCGTTTCGCCATTATCTCCTATTGTTTTCTTTCCTTCCTTTTCTGTTGTTTTTTTTTCGTTCCTCGGTCGTTCTTATTATCCCCCTCTCCCTCTCTTCTTTCCTCTTCCTCCTCCCTCCTTCCCCTCCTCCCTCCCTCCCTCCCTCCCTCTCCTCCTCCTCCTCCTCCCTCCTTCCCCTCCTCCCTCCTTCCCTCCTCCCTCCTTCCCCTCCTCCCTCCTTCCCCTCCTCCCTCTCCTCCTCCTCCTCCTCTTCCCTCTCCTCTTTCTCCCTCTCATTCTTCTCCATCCTCCCCTACTTCCCCTTATTATCGCCATCCATATTTTCATCGCCTGCATCTTCTACCCTCTTTCGCCGTCATAATCTTCCACCTCGCTATCCGATTCCCCCCTCCTCCTTCCTCCTCCTTCCTCCTCCTCCTCCCTCACCCCAGATGTATCTTCGCCTCCCCCCCCCTCGCTTTCCCATCCCCCCCTTCCCAGACGCCCCTCTCCCCCCTCCTCCCCGTCTTCCCCTTTAATACCCTAAAGTGCCCTATTCATCTCCCTTCCTCCTGATCCTCCCTCACCCTACGTACCCCTCCCTCGTCCCTCCTACCCCTCCCTCGTCCCTCCTACCCTTCCCTCCCTCGTCCCTCCTACCCCTCCCTCACCCTACCTACTACTCCCTCATCCCTCCTAGCCCTCCCTCGTCCCTCCTACCCCTTCCTCACCCCCCCACCCCACCCCCAGCATGCCATTGTCATGTCCCGTCAACAATCAAGACGGTTGTGTTACGTCATCATACGTAACATACTGGATCTTTCATCCTTCCCGTTTCCCCTTCTTCTTCTTCTTCTTCTTTTTCTTCTTCTTCTTCTTCTTCTGTTCTTTCTTATCTCTTATCTTCCCTTCCTCGTTTTCTTTTTTATCCTTTCCTTCCATTCTCCCCTCTTTTCCTTCCCTCTCCTTCCCCTTATTTTCTCTTAAGGGAAGGGAAGAAAGGAAGAGAGGAAGAAAGGGAAAGAGAAAAAGAGAAAGAAAGAGACAGAAAGCAGACGATCACCCCCAAACAGACAGACAGTAATAATAAAAAGCTCAAAACGAACGAAAAGAGCAAACAGAGAGCAGAGAGAGAGCGCAAGGGCCCACAGCGAGCCGCGCGGACCGACGAAGAGCAATGACTCAACCCCCCGCCATCGCCTCACAAGGGAGCGGGCCGAGATAACAGAGATAGCACGACACTGTCACGCGATAACGCTATCCGAGACACTTCAACGTCTTCGGGGACACGACGACGAACGAATTGATACGGGGGAGGGAGGAGGGGGGGTGGAGGGAGGGGAGGGGGAGGGAGGGAGACGGAGGGAGGGGAAGAGGGGGGGATGGTGGAGATGGAGGGAGGGGAAGAGGGAGAGGGAGATGGAGGGAGGGGGGAAAGGGGGAGGGGGAGGAAGGGGAGGGGGAGAGAAAATAGGGGGGGATGAGCCAAAAGGGGGGAGGGGGAAGGGGAAAGGGGACAGGAGGAAGGAAAAGGGGGGAAAGGGGAAATGGTAAGGGGATGAGCAGGAGGGGGGTAAGAAGGGAGAAAGGAGAGAATGAGGGTATGAAGTGGTTGGGTGGATAAAAGGGCTGAGAAGGAGAGAGAGAGAGAGAGAGAGGAGAGAGAGAGAGAGAGAGAGAGAGAGAGAGAGAGAGAGAGAGAGAGAGAGAGAGAGAGAGAGAGAGAGAGTAGTATGGAAGGGGAAAACGAATAACAAGAGGAGCAGGAGCAGTAGAAGCAGGAGGAGGAGGAGGAGGAGGAGGAGAGGGAAAAAAAAAGATACGAAGGGGACGCAAAATAAATAAAGGAAAGAAGAAAAATAAAAAGAAAGATAAAAGAAAGGAAACGAAGGAGGCGAGTGTTTCCGGGAGAGGGAGCGGCGGATGAGTCATGCATATCCTCCTCCCCATCCTCCCCTCCCCTCCCTCAGTCTCCCCTCCAACCCCCACCATACCCCCCACACAACACCCC